GCTGGAGCCGCCGCAGGTCGCGTCGGAACCGGCCCGCCGCTGGAACCGTCGCAGGTCACATCGAAGCCGCCCCGTCGCTGGAACCGCCGCAGGTCGCGCTGGAGCCGCCCGCCGCGAGCCGCTGGTCTCCGTTGGCCTTTTACACACCTCCACGAGCAAGCGACCCACGCGCCACACCACTCTCCGCTGCACCAGGTGCTTGTGTTATTGCCTCAAAGATTGTGGTGTTAATTTTTTAGGATCACTAACTTGCTCGATTAATTTGTTCTGTCCAGTGAGGAAGTGATGGTGCATGAGGACGAGCTTCCTGGACAAGAAGATCTCCGTACTCTTCTCGGTGATGCAAAGTTGAGGTTTGGATTTTGGCATCCGCTCTATTGCTTTTTTGGACGAAACTTAATTGTTTGTTTTTTATTATAGCTTAGATAGTCTATTTTAGACTTTTAGTGCTTATCTTTCATTCAGGGCTTCAAACCACACTCGATTGCAAAACAAAATTCAGACAACCGATTGCTGAATCCTAGACTTTCTCATAGTTACAACTTATAAGACCTGCAACCATCGAATCTTTTGGTTGCACTCTCAGCTGATATATGAGATCGATCATCTCATCCTACCTGTTCGGAATTGCGGATTCCCGAGTTCCTTTTTTGATTCTGTTGATTGTAATGTTAAATATGGCTCCTAATTGGATACATACATGTCTAAACGATTGGTGCAGCTGCAGATCATCTATATTGATTCTGGAGACCGATTCTTGGTGCTGCTGCAGATCGTCTACATTGATTCTGGACGCCGATTCTTCATTTACCCTTCTTATTACCATTTGCTAACTTAATCACCTCTCTCTCATGTTGGTTCTGAAGATCTTTTATGTGTCATGTCGACAAAGGCGTTTGATAAGAGATCCAAGCAGGCTACATGTGAGGTGAATCAAGGTAATCTATATGATGTAGTCCAGGAGCCGCCCTTCGTCGTGGTCCGCAAGTCGCTGAGCCGCTGCCCCGGAGCCGCCCTTCGACGCGGCCCGCAGGTTCCCCAGCCGCCGCCCCGGAGCCACCCTTCGCCGCAGGTCGCCGCCGCCGGAGCCGTCCTTCGCCACATGTCTCCTCCCTGCTGGCCGTCCTGCCCTCCACAGCTCTTATCTTCAAGCTCAAGGCACGCACGCGATCCCCTCAGCTTCTGTCCTTTCTTCAACCCACCGATTCGTTTTCTACATTATGAATTGTTACCGTCTGAACATCTACGCGATCCAATTACAATAGAAGCATAAATCCCTATATATATGCATAAGAGCAAATCTTCCCCCAAACGGCAGAACAGAGACCCCTCTTTCAAATGACTGAAGATTGGTTATCCCGTAACCAGACGCAGAGGGAGAAATTCAGTTCCATAACCTCCATATAAATACCATCATACTTGTTCCCTCCCTCCCACTTCTGTTAAATTGTTAGAAACCTAGACTCATGGGTAAAGGAATTATTTGATTCAGTGCTTTGTCAGTTCAAAAATAGAATCTAGCTAAGGAGCACATGTCCTATTTTTGTAGGTGATATATACTCGAAGGCATGAAACTGGTATTTAATAATACTCCAGGTGAGATATATGCAGTTGTTATGGATTGTGGTTTCGAGGAAAACAATTATGGAACTCAATATGCAGCCGCTAAGTTTCTAAAGCTTGATCGACATCTTTTATCAGTTGTTAATTAGTACTAGGATTCTTATGCATGTCTACTGTTGTTTAGGAAACTAAAGACATGATGGTTCTGTTTGGGACGAAAAAGAAAAGTAGCACCAGGTGTGTTAACCCAATGCTTAGGTGATTAACTGCAGATAAAAAAAATTATCCCCTGTTTGAGCAGTATGGAAGTACACATGGTTATTTGGTCAGTGGCCTTCTTGGCATATGTAGATTTTCTGCGTTCTGAATTTTTAGCCCTTGTGATTCTTGTAGGTTATGCTTTATTTAGGCGTATAACTTGTACTTCCATTGCTCTACATTTTACTTAAATCACATATTTGACACTTTGTACAATCTGCAGTTAATTACTAAATCCCAGAGGAGTTCTACATTATTTCATTAGTCCATTTAGAGCATGTCAATTGGATGTACAAGTTATTTAGGGGTAAAATCAACTTCCCTCTGAAGTCTGCTGCTGGTCATGCTCTTTTATATGGTGGTCTGATCTGGTCACACTCTTTCGACAGTCGATGCATATTTTCTTTTGGGTAATTTGCTTCACCTAAGCTTCAGTAGCACTCTGCATGGCCCTTTGAGTTCATATCTTCTATTGGTGTCTGAAAACTATCATTTTTGGTCAGCTGATATCACTCTATTCATGCTATCAATTTTTCTTTCTCACTATATGGTAGTCCTTGACCTGTTTGTGTCATCGGAGAAGGGAATTTTCCTTTTTTTTTCACTTTTATCTTGTTTCCTTTTAATATATTGGTTTTAGTTGTATATTACAGAAGGATTGGACATGGAGATCTAAGATGGAAGCGTTTGTGTATATACTGTACCTTTGTATATCTTTCCAAGTTCCATCTTGCCTTATCATACATTTTAAAAGAACAGTTGTTTTCTGAGTCATTGGTGTACTTATGTTGTGTTGTCACCAACCATGAGTATATAACAGTTTGTTGGACAAAAGTATTCTTGTGGTTTGTGCCATGGTTGGGCACCATCTTAAATATAAAATGATAACATTGCAAACATTTTTATTTTGAAGGGCCAACAAGAAAGGATTTCTTCCGGCAGCATAACAAAGAACCCATTGGGTGGATGCAACACCCGAATGCCTTTTTGACTAAATCATTTTAATTAACTAATTACAGTGGCGGAGCTAGATGGGGAGGCAAAGGGCAAATACATCAATTCTTGAGCAGTCCAAAAACTATAATTTGTTGAATTAAGCACCCCCAAGAGTTCTTTATTCACACATTTTTTCAAGGTTGGGGGTTTAATGTAAGTTTTCTGCTATTAAAACTGCAACTTTCCATCTTGATTGTGTCCATGATTAAGTTTTGGGTGTGGGCAGGGCAGAAGATCAAGCACTCCGTCCTCTGCCAGGTCGCCGCCGCTGCTCGGGACGTAGACGCGCACATGGGTCCGTCAGTCGTTGGCAAACGAGGTCGAGTCCGTGCGGAGCACTGGTCTCCTCGCTGTCGTCGTCGTCCTCCCTGCTGCCAGCGACGCCCTCCTGTCTCCTCTGCACCAGTCTACTCCTTCATGTCTGTCCCCCTCTCAATCTCCTCTTTCTCTTGTTTGTTTTCTCTATCTCACATAGGAAAGCTCTTGATCCACCCAAACGCTGAATCATGTTCATATTTGCTACCCTAGGAAAGAAGGATATAAAACTGAACTACAAACATCAGTAGTAGAGCATACATCATAAAGGGTTGTGGATGTCCCATTGCTGCACGAACTGAACCAAGGATGTTTAGCAACTAATTTCTTTTTTTGTGGGATCAACAGGAGGATGGGATTCATAATTGAGAACATTATGTGTTCATAATATATATTTTGTGGTAGCAACTGAACCAAGGATGCTCATGGCAAGTTTAATCGCAATATAAATCACTTGGTTTGGAAACACACCTGCTAAAAAAATAGATTGATCTTTTCTTAAAATCTTCAACCTACTATGTAAACCAGTTCTCCTTTGTATCAATCTGAGATCCATCTGGATTATATCTGATTTTAGTGATATATAAATCAAAATTGATTTATTCACTCTTTTGTAAGCACTTATCTTTAGATGACACATTTGATAGTTCTGGTGTTCTGTTTTATGTGGTTTGATTTTATCAACCGAATTTGGTCTTTCTTTTGCAGATTATTTACAAAAGAAAATGGTTTGGGGTGAAGAGTTGAAGGCTTGAAGCCAAATGTTCCTAATCAAGAAGATGACCCGCACAACTCCCCTGAAACAAGGCCAGCACTATGTGCCAAGATTGAAGATCCCAAATATGTTTACTTTGGTCCAATATCGTATAGCAGTGTAATGCTTCAGGCACTTTTTATCATTCATTTTTATTATTCAAATTTCTATATGGTTGCCATAGATGCTACTATTACATGGATTTATTACTATTTTTCATGTGTTGTTGAAAATAGAACTCACTCATTTATTTGTCTACGGAGGGAGTAGCATACAGTAAGCTTCATTTCACCGAGGAGATCTTCCGTTACATAGAGTTATTAATTTCAATATGAATTCAGAATTCAGTACCCACACGAATTTCGTAGATGCTTTGATCGAGACGTGCGTTGCACGTGCATGCTTACTAGTCTTCAGAAAATAATACCGTCCTGGTTTGGTTTATGGCACCCGCGAGAACAGAATAGTTATTTTTAGCAAGTTGATGCCTACAATTTCCATGCTAAATCAATGCTTACCAAAAGTCACCGTGCACGAAATGGGAAAACAAACATCAAGACCAACCTGCACCTCATCTGCCTAATAGTAACTGTTGATTATTCATTATGTACACGATCGTCTCAATAATCCTCGTATGCACGGGCCAAAGCAAAGTATCCACCGAAAATGTGGACAAGAAGCCAAGCAAAAACGTACAACTCTACTCCGCTAAACACAGGAGCACCTCCTTAATTATGTACTCATCCCTCCACCAAATCCCAAAGAAACTAAAATATATCGTATTAACAAAATAAACCTGACCAAGCCCATTTTTCTGGGAAGGAAAAAGTGCTAAAATCTAGAGAGAAAAAACTCAGAAAAACACGGAGAAATCGCCGTCTTTCGACGGATCCATCATCCTCCGCTCACCGTCGTCGCCCCCGCCCGTCTCCGTCTCCGGCGAAGGCTTCTTCTCGTCGCCCCCCGCCGCCGCCGCCGCCGCGGCCTCGACGTCGCTGGCCGCGAACGTCTCGTGCACGACCTTCTCGACGTCGAGCACCTCGCCGCCGTCCTCGTTCTGGGGCAGGGCCGGGATGTAGGGCGGGCGCGCCACGCGGAGGATGCGGTCCCAGTCGACGCCGTGGAAGAAGGGGTGCGCCTTGATGCCGCGCGCGCCGATGCGCTTCGCCGGGTCCTTCTCCAGGAGGCGGGCGATGAGGTTGCGCAGCGGCGTCTTCTCGCCCACCAGCTCCGGCTGCTTGGTGAGCACGCGGTAGAAGGTCTCCTTGCGGTTCTGGCCCCGGAACGGCGTGCGCCCGTAGAGCATCTCGTAGAGGACCACGCCCAGGCCCCACCAGTCCACGATGAAGTCGTGCCCGCTCCCGGCGATGATCTCCGGCGCCACGTAGTCCTCCGTGCCCACGAACGAGTTCGACTTGGCCGGCGTGCGCGCGCCGGAGACCGTGGAGGAGGCCGTGGTGGTCGTTGATGAGGTGGAGGACGAGGAGGCTGTCCGCGAGGTGGACGGCGGCGACGGCGAGTCTGCAGACACGGCCGGCTTTGTGGCGCCGCCTGAACGGAACCGGAAGCACATGGCCGGCTTCTTGGGCTTCCCGGTGTTCGGGGACGGCGAGCTAGGGACGGGCGCAGGTTTGGGGGCGTCCTGCTCCGGCGGCAGAATCGGGAGTCTCGTGGAGAGGTCGAAGTCGACGAGCATGATGTGGCCGCTGTCCTGTATCAGGACGTTCTCCGGCTTGAGGTCCCGGTAGACGATGCCGATGCTGTGCAGGTACTCGAGAGCCAGCACCAGCTCCGCCGCGTAGAACCTGCGAATTGGCAACGAATGGGTGAGTTCACGGATCAAATCTTGGCCACCAATTTGTGCCACGGCAGTGCGTGGCATAAGGGCCGTTGGCTGATGGGTTAATCGGTCAGGTAGAGCGGGGGCGTACCGTATGACGGAATCGGAGAACATCTTCTCGGTCTGGCGGCGGCGGAGGGAGTTGAGGTCGCCGCCGCCGCAGCGGTCGATGGCGAAGCCGACGACGGCGTCGGTGGCGAGGACGCCGCGGAGGGCGGGGAGCAGCGGGTGGCGCAGGGCCAGGAGCACGTCGCGCTCGAACCAGATCCTCCGGTGTCCGTCCCCGGCGCCGCCGCCACCGCTCCCGCCGCTCTTCTTGTGCCGCGCGGCCTCCCGCGACACCGCCTTGAGCGCCATGGCGACGTCGCCGTCGCTGCCCTCGCCCTCGGGCACGACGTGGAAGACGACGCCCTTGGCGCCGCGGCCGAGCACGGAGACGGCCCTGAGGTCGGCCAGGCTGAGCTGGTGCGGCTCCGGCGGCGGCGGCGCGAGCGCCTGCGCCGTCATGGCCACCGCGAGCGCGCACGAGGACGGCGCCGCCTTGGATTGGGCGGCGGGGTGCGAGTGGGTGCGCCTGCGCCTGCGCCTGCGCGAGTGAGAGGGAGGAAGGGTGGGGTGGGGATTGGTTGCGGTTTGATTTTGGTATTCCCCGATTCGATTCTCGTCTCGGCTCCTCTGCGTGCGTTGCGTTGGTTATATGCGGCGGGCAACAGGCTCGGCTCTCTCTGCCTTCCCTTGGTGACGAAGCACTCGCGTGCGGGATTTTCTTCCGGGAAGCGAGTGTTTTGAAACGGGAAGAGTTTTTTAATCCCTTGGTTCGTCGACGGACTGCGGTCTTCCCTCTCGCGTGTGGTGTTGTTGGGTGTGGGGGCAGTTTTTCAGGGAGAAATGCAAGGACTTTGTGGGCTCCGTGTTTGGACTGCGGTTGCGGGCTCGGGGTCGGCCCCTCTTCCTGCACCCAGTTTGTTGCCCCAGAAATGTTTCCAGAACTCCTCAGAAAAAAAAAATGCAGTGATTCTAGAAGGAGTAGTTCCTTCGGTCTATCTGTCGGACTGTACAGCAGGTATAACTTTTTATGGATCCATTCAATACAATTACCTGCAATGCCAGTACTCCCTCCGTATGTACAACGGAATTCCTAAAAGGTCTTATATTTAGGAACGGAGGGAGTAGTACTTTCAGGCAAGTGATTTCAATTCGCTTTCATTCGAACTCTCTGAATGTCCGAGCTCCAGCCGCAATTTCTGTTGAATTTTTCAGCCGGCTGGATTCTTTATTTAGCCCGCATTTGAGTTACCGGACGTTCGACCCTGCGATGCAATGTCCACGCTCCCCTCCGTGCTCCCCTCTTGCGCGCACCCCATATCGCGGCTTGATGCCGACGAGCCTCTCCCTCCGAGGTCGAGTGGCGGTCGATTCCCGCTCCCCAGAATCCCTTCGCCGTGCATGGGCTCGGGATTGGCGGCTGCCATTCGGGGTTCCCCACCGCGGCTCGTCGGGGCGGACTCCGTGTCGGAGGTGGAGATCCTCAGATCTTCAGATGGATGGGGAAGATGGAGTAGCGACGGACCAGGAGATCCGTCGATTGTTAGCGGAAGTGGCGCACCGGGAACGCGCGGCAGATCAAGCCGCGAGGGCTACAGAGCAGGCGTCGCAGGCGCTAGCAGCGGCGAGGATGAATCTCGCTCTGTGCGCAATGGTGAACACCTCGGAGCTGGAGCGCGCCCGCATCTACGCGTTGGGTCAGGACATCTCCCCTGCTCTGATTCTACAATGGGCAGAGGAGGAGGCGTCCTCAACCTCGCGGCAGCAGCGAAGAAGATGGAGGCCTTTCCGAAGGGCGACACGCTAATGGTGGTCAACTCGATGCCTATAGAGAGTACGTGCCTCCCCTGCTACTCAGATTACCAATTTAGTTGCTCATGACCGCCGGAGATCGCCATCATCGCCGTCGTTCGTTGTGCTACCGCCGAAGCGACTAGTCAACGCTGTGGGGGTTGCTAGGTATCCGAGGGCCCCGGTGGTCAGTGGCCTTGACGTGGGAATGGATAGGACCCACGTCCCAGCCTCTGGTCTGAAAGAGAATATCACTTTCCCCCAATCCTTACAGCCTACCAACCACGAGATTGCTCCTGGGGCTGCTAGGGTTTGTCGTCGCCCACGACTCCCTCCTCCTCCCTCCTTAGTTTGGGTGAGGTGGGACAAGTTTAGGAGTGGTTGCTTTACTGCTTCCGATTGCTTCCCTGCCGGAGCTTCTGATAGACTAATCAAGCCTAAGGAGTTTAGCTTTTCGGCAGATTTTTGGTCGAAGCGTGAAGGAAGATTGACCTACACTGCGGTCACTCAAAAGATGGCTGGCGCTGGATCTGGGCATGTCGCGTGTGGAGGGAGGAATAATGGTGGCTGGGGGCGCAACGACGAGATCCGTCCCCATGTCCAGCAAGTTACCCCTACCCCCCCTACTGCCCCTCTTGTTCGTCCCCCTCTGGCTCAGCATCCCCCGCAACAAGCCCCTCCTATCTCCATCTACGCCAAGCCCCCATCTTCCCTGTGGCCGCAAGCTCTCATTTGATGTATCCTCAGATGGGACTGATGTTTCTTGGATATCAGCAATTTCCAGTCAACTCATGGCCGCAAAATCAACATCAATTCCAGTATCCTTACCTTGCTCCCAACCATTGTACTCCTATGCCATATTCACAGGGGGGCCAACAACGTGCTGCTTGTGGTAGTGGGTCTGCTTCTAGTAGTGGACAAGCTGGTCAGAGCAAGAACAAGAAGAAGCAAAAGACTGCTACGGGCAAAAAACCTCTAAAAGTTGATGCTGGTCTTGCTGCTACTCATATAACTTTGCCTTCCCGTGAGCCTGACTCTTTCAATGTTGATCCAAAATATATTGGGGCAATCTGCTACAATTGTGGTCTCCCTAGATGCTTTGTGGGAATGTGTCAAATTCCAAAGAATTGCTTCATGTGTTCTATCCCTGGTTACCACATGGATGCTTGTCCTGTGTGGTACAAACCATATCCAACTGCTCAATTCTGGGGCAGTGCTGGGAATGGTTTAGGCTTCTTTCATACTGAGATTGGTGAAAAAAGCAACTGTGATTGGCTTAACTTTAGCAATGTTGGTCTAGTTGTAATTGAAGAGGGTGAGATCTCTGCCGAAGAGTTAGGTGCTTGATTCACTAGCATGTGAAAAATCAATTGGCCATGGCAGATCAGAGCTTATGATGATTCTCAATATCTTGTCAGATTCCCACCCAACAATAAAATCATTGACTTAGTTGCCTATGACTCTATCAACCTCAAGAAGAAAGGAGTTTCTATCTCTTTCAAGAATTGGCATGGTGATTTGCCTGCCTACGATTGCTTAACTGAGGTCTGGATTGATATTGTGGGCCTCCCTCCTGTGTGGTGCTCATGGTCTGTGATAGCTCAAGTCTCTGCTACGCTGGGTGTCATCACCAATATTGATTGGCATGGCATTTTCAGAAGTTTCTATGAAGTTGTGAGAGTCCAAGTTGATGTCAGAGACCCTGCAATGATCCCTAGAGACAGATTGTTTGAGATCCAACAAGATTTGTTCCTTCTTGCTTTTAAAGTTGAAGAGGATGCTCATGTGGTTTCTGATAACCCGTCAGATCCTTCCGATCCTAAAGAAGATGAGGAAGGCAGCAACAAGAAACAAGGGGGTGAGGATGATGATAGCAATGATGACCTGTTGGGGAGAGATGGAACATGATCTGGACACCGTCAGGAAGAATTCTAATCTCAGACCTAGGCCTACCTCTGCTCCTAGTGGGTCTAGAAATAGAACCTACACCTTTGGTGTCCTCTAAAAGGGTCGTGGAGAACAACAACCCTTTGGAGAGATCTGTCTTTCTTAAGATTCAAGATGCTCCTATGACTAAAAGCTACCTACAAGCTGTTGAGAGAACTCCTGTTGAGAATTTTGGCACTGTTTTGCTTCCAGAATTTGATGCTGCTGACAAAAATGGGGATGCTCTCAAAGATGGTACTGCTACCTCCCATGTGGCCCTAATTCCTTGCCCTGCTCCCAAAGCTAAAAGCTAAAAAGCTGGTGGTGGCAAATGGGGTCCTATTATATCCACTAGGATGAGTAGCAGGATTAAAAGGGATGGGAAGCCAACTTTGATCAAAGCTCAGGAGATTAAGGAGGTGAAAATTTTGGAAGTCCCCAGAGGTAATAAATCTAAGGTCTTTCACAACTCTTTTGCTTGTCTTGATAATGACACTCTTATTTCTAATGCTGGCAAAGCTAGCATTGCTTTGGGGGATAACCCCTCTCAAGTAGATAATAATATTGAAGTTATTAAAAACCTGGAGTCGGAAAGACTTGAAAATTTTAGGCATGATAATCCTGATATGTTCCTCCCTGGTGACATTGATGTCACTAAGGAAGACTATTACACTTTATATCCTTTTGTTATATCTAGTTCTGCTTTTGACACTCATATGGACCAAAAATCTGATCCAAATATGGATGAAGATGCTGGTGGTACCTCCTCTTGGATTGAGATTACCAGTCAGAGGTCTAAAAACTGTCAAGCTAAATTAACCTCTAGATTTAAATGATAAGGCTATTTTGGAATGTGAAGGGCCTTAATGGGTCCCACAAAAAGACCAAAGTGAAAGAACTCATTAGAGCTCATTGCCCTGATTTTATTTGTCTATCTGAAATAAAGAAATCTGAGTTTAGTGTCCATCAATTAGAGGCTATAGACTCTACACTAGTGCAGGATGCTGCTAACGCGACACTACAATCAGAGACCCTTCGACGAAACTGTGTGCGATGCATTAATCGCAAATGGTGATGTAAAAACCCGTTAAAAAGATGCAGAACGTTTGCGAAGGCAGATACATCAAACGTGACACGGATTTTACTTACGTGTGCGATGAGGGGCATATGGTTCACTCCAATGAACTATTTGCAATGAGGCAGAACAACAAAAACGGGCAGGCAGATGAAAATGTGTGCAATATATGGCATACAGTTCACTCGGATTAACAGTTTGTGATTAGGCAACACAATAGAAACAGTCAGCCAAATCAAGGTGTGTGCGATTGATGGCATACAGTTCACTCGGATGAACTGTTTGTGATTAGGTGGAAAAAAAGAAATGGTCAGCCAGATCAAGGTGTGTGCGATAGAGGGCAAACAATCCACTCGGATGAACTGCTTGCGTTGAGCCAAGAGAACAGAAACGGTTCAAGAGTTACCAAAATTGTTCTTTCATAACAAGAGTTACCAAAACGTCATTAATATCACAAGACTCTGCACTAGTGGCGAGAGGAGCAATCGGAGTAGTAATAAAATCATTATTGTTAGTATTGGAAAAGTCACACATTTTTGTAGTTTCTTGAGACATCTTGACTAGGCAAACAAGATAAGAAGCAACCAAACGCACACGCGAGAAAATGGTAAACAAAAAATATTTTTCTATTTTTGTGAAAATGTTTTAGAAGTGGGGGAGATGAAAATGA